ATGATCCGCCAGTAAGCATTAGTGGAAGTATGCGCAATGTAAGGTATCCTGATCTCCGCTCTAGCCATTCTTCAGCCTCTTGGCAAAAATGATCACTGTGTAGTCTCCGTTTTATGGACACGACAGTTAGCTATCAATGTCCAAGGAGTGCAACGCCGCAATTTATGGTGAGCCGTCCCCCTCCGCTTAAAATTGGCTGTTAGCCTCATGGACTGGAACATCCCTCATCATTTGGATCTCGATGCTGCTTGGGACCTTTTGTGCTCCAAGATGATGTTTATCGTTGATTGGGTTGTTCCAAGGGTCACAAAACAATCCTTCACCAAAAGGCCCCCATGGATAGATCGAGAAATCAAATCGCTCATGCTGATAAGGCGAAAACCTTGGGGCTGGTTCAAGTTCACTCAGACTGCTCAAGATTACGCTCATTACAGACGTTAGAAATTTATGCACCTTGAGAAAGCGAGAAAAGTGAGAATTACATAAGCAGCATCTGCCTGAGCATTCTGCGCTTAATCCGAAAAAGCTTTTCGCATACCTTAAAAGAAGCAACGAGACTGGCCCTTAACGTAGTGCGAGGATTTGCGTACATCATTTACCCATTGAGCTATACTGGGTGATGCCTCCGGGCACCTTGAGAGATACTCCTACCTGATTGGTCAATGGTGAGAGGTCAGACAAACGCAATCTCCTGGTCCTCCAGGTTGGGGGTTTGAAATGGAATGGCGGCCATTTCTGCAAAACTAAATCATTGCCACCTCCCCGCTGCCTTGTGGACAGGCTTTTGAGACAAAGGCTTTGGCTAAGGACGCTAATCGTCCTCCTGTCTAGGTCTGGGCGCCCAGGCATTATCTCAGCCCACATACAACCATGACATTTCCTTCAAACATAAACTTCATCCTGCATCGGCCGTCGCGCAGATTATCAAGGGTCACCTTATCCGCTGCATACAACAAGGCGTGTATGCGAAAACATACTACTGCTGGCGCCTCTTTTCTTTTCCACCTGTTTCTCTTACTCCCATCCCGACCCCCATTACTAACGTTCCTTCTAGAATTCCCAGCTTAAATGACAGCAACCGAAGTGCCACTGGAGTAGAACCATCTGCAGCCACCATCCCACCGAACGCACCGGAAACCTATCGGCAACAGTCCCTTATAAGGCCAGGCTGTTCCGTTTCCATGACGAGGTTCAACGTTCGCACTGTACGACAAACAGGTTAACAGTTTGCACTCGCACGCACCTTTTGCACACCGGGTATTAATGTGTGTTGTGTGTCCGAAACTAGGATCAATGACCGTAACGGGGTTATTGAATTAACTGCATCCGACTTATCCTCTCATTATTGATTGCACACATCCGGAGACGCGGATGCAGCACTCACGGGTCAAGCTGGTGTAGGTATCATTCTAAGCTCCAAGGCTGAGCCATCGTTGCTTGATTGGATTCTGGTGAACAGTCTTTTATGTGCAGCCCGTTTGACGACATCAGCTAAGGTTGATACACGAAGTAGTACAAAACGCTGTTTGTTCGTGATTTCCGCTTATGCTCCCACCGACTGCACTTCTAATGCTATCAAAGACACATTCTATCACGAGCTGAACACTCTGCTACGCAGTGCTACTAGTTCAGATATGATAGTACTTGCAGGGGATATGAACGCACAAGTAGGGTGTCTGAGCTCTTCGGAAGCTCAGCTGGGTGGTAAGTATGGACTTAACGCCGAACGGACTGACAACGGCGAGCGTCTTCTGCAACTGTGTGTGGAGCACCAGTTGTTTCTTACTAGCACTGCTTTTAGACACAGTGGGCGCCGAAGTGCCACTTGGCGTCCTCCTGTAGCTGGCCAGCGATGGACCCAAATTGACCACATAGCCATAAGTTACAGGTGGCGCGGTTCCATTCTGGATTGTCGCTCGTACTGGAGTACCTGTGTCGACTCTGATCATGCTTTGGTACGCTGACGTTTCTCCATGAACTTTACTGGGAGACGCACCAAGCATCTCCTGCGATTGGCAAATGAGAAATTGTCTCAGTCCTCGGTTACGCAAGCCTATCAAGAAGCACTGCATACAGAACTTTTACTGTCTTGTCCTAATGACACTGTGTTTCAGTGGAATAGGATCTCGGCCGCCATGTACGACGCAGGAGCATCTGCTTGTGGCACTATCCATCGTCACCGCACCAGTCACTGGATATCCGATAGGTCGGTGAACCTGTTGGAAGCTAGAAGACACCTTCCGACTGGCTCTGAACACAATGTGACCAGACGGGCTATTAGGCGTGAACTAAAGTGGCGCCTACGTGCTGACAAGGAAGCCTGGTTGACCAGTAGGGCTCAAGAAATGGAGGAGGCAGGAGCAGTGGGCGATTGCCGCAAGCTCTTCCAGCTGATCCTCACCACTGTCCCAGGAACATGGGCGTCACTGACACAATCAGAGACAGCGCGGGTGCACTGATAGACAATAAGGAGGGCCGTATGGCTCATTAGGCGGAACACTTTCAAGGTCAGTTCAGCTGGCCCCCTGCTCCCGGACTTCTTCCTACTCAGGTGATGTAGGACGAGCCATGGACGGTTAGTTTAGATCCTCCGTCGGAGGTCGAGGTCCGAAACGCGATCACAGCGTTTACTCGTTTTCGTGCCGCCGGCCCGGATTCCCTCCCACCTGCACTATTTAAGGATGGAGGTGAGGTCCTCTGCAAAGCACTGACTTCCTTATTCGAATCTACCTGGAAGGAAGAGAGTGTCCCGGCTAATTGGAGCGAATCGATTATAGTGACAATATACAAGAAAGACAGTCGCACCGACTGTGCTAACCACAGGGGTATTAGGCTAACGCCAGTTATGACAAAATTGCTGGCTTCGGTTCTCGTTCCTCGCCTCACTGTGGAACGGGAATCTCGGAGTAGGGAAGAGCAGGCAAACTTCCGCCCAGGACGTGGCTGTATAGACGATATATTCACTTTGCAGCAGATGCTAGAGCAGCGCCACGCATACCGCAGACCGGCAATAGCTACCTTCCTCGATTTCAAAAGTGCCTTTGATTCAGTCGATCGATGCATTCTGTTCGAAACACTTGCGCGGAAATGTGTTCCCACGAAATATGTGAACATCCCTCGTGCTCTATACTCGAACACTACAGGCCGCGTCAGGGTCTACGGTGAGATCTCGGATAGCATTCTGACCACAAGTGACGTTCCTTAGGGTTGTCCCATTTCCCCTTTTTTGTTTAATTTCGTCCTGGATTCTATCATTTAGTAGTCCCTTGCGGAAGCTCCCGGTGTAGGCGTTGAAGTGCTGCCTAGTGAAAGGTTAGTTGATCTAGATTATGCGGACGATATCGTCTTGCTTTTCAACTATGTTGGGGCGACACAATCAACCCTGAATAGCCTGTCCAGAGTGGTCCCATTATTTGGTATGTAGTTCGCACCTTCAAAGTGCAAAGTGTTGCTACAGGACCACCAGCCAGTGTGTGACCCTTAACCCCTGCTAACGAGGAACTCGTGGTGGTTGATCATTTCACTTGTCTTGACAGCTGCATCAGCAATGATGGGCGCATAGAAACTGACGTCAGCTCACGCATTGCAAAAGCCACAGCTACCTTCTTGAACCTGCGGCATCTATGGCGACAGAAGGGAATTTCCCTCCATCCGAAAGGTCGTAGATACAAGGCCACAGTGAGGGCCGTCCAGCTCTATGGAAGTGAGACTTGGCCCTTTCGGTCTGAAGATGTGAAGCGCCTTCAAATTTTAGATTATTGTTGTCAGCGAAGCATTGCTAGTGTCGGATGGCACCAGCGTGTCCGCAACGATGATGTGCGTAGGCGAGTACTAGTTGATGATAATCATGCTAGCTCCCTAGAACAACAGATAGCACTGAATAAGTTGCGTTGGTTCGGGCACTTGCTACGTATGGCTGGTCACCGCTTACCTAGAAGGGCCTTGTTTAGTCTGTCAGATGTAGGATGTCGCAAAGCTCGAGCTGGACAGAAATTGGGTTGGCAGCGGGAAATGAAGTCACTGACGACCAAACTGGGTGCCGTTGGTCCTTCTTGCCTTCCGGCTGGAGTCCACGTGACTCGCCTTGTGCCTGGCTCGAGACTTTATAGGATACGGCTGGCAACCGACACCAGTGGCGCGTCTGCTGCCGTCTCCTAATTGGTTTGCCTGTTTAAAGTGTGTTTGATGCTGAGTTATCTGCGGGGTAATGGCTGATTATGACTCGTGACAGTGAAAGCCACAAGGAAGCTGTCTCGCCGATGCCGCCTTATCTTTGCACGATAGCCAGCTGTTTGTGACAGTATGTTGTCTACACAAGGTGTAGGCGCCTTAACCCTGAATTTTTGCTTAGGGCATTAAAGTTTTCAGGTAAGTCCCCCTTCTCTCCCTCTTCTTATTCTTTATTTCATAGGTCCTCATGGTTGTATGGCAGTGAAGCATCAGTTCAAACGACTGATGTAGTGTTGTCGTCGTCCTCGATGTTGTTGTTGTCGTCGTCGTTGTTGATGTATCATCAAATGCTGAAATGATGTTTCGACTTTCCGACTTTTAAGGGAGTATGATTGATATCAGGCAACTGTAAGCATGTCTAGAAGACCGAATCTCTGCGTGTTGACTCTTGATAAAACTGACTAATAGTCTGAGAAATAGTGGATCAGTAGGACAATATACGTTGTCCAGGATGATTTACGTTCTGTTTTTTGCAGTCATTGAGCTTAAGTTCGGCAAAATCACTTTTTACTGTGAGCATCAAAACAATTGGTACCATGACAAATATTTAAAATTAATAGTCGTTGGAAAGCAATGCGAGTGCACGCATCAGAAAGCACTCACTAATTCCACCCGGGCTATAACCGTATTAACTTCGTTCGCTGACTACAACCACTCGTGGAACCCTGACAGTGGGGTACTTAATGCCCGCTGGCCACATCGTGACATGTCAACGATGGTGCGGTTGCGGTGGCAGAGATTAATTCCAGCGTATGCCGCTTAGCGCTTACCTTTTTGAGCATATCTTCCAACTTTAGTTGAGTTCCCCTGTTTGCCATTCGCTCCTTCACCTTTGTGTACGACTCATTCACAATGGCCAGAAACATGTTCAGCAGAACGAACACAGAGAAGAAGATAAACATGACGAAGAACAGAGGACCGAGAATAAATTGCGTCCGCTGAAGACTGTGGAAATCGATATCTCCCACGATCATCCGAAACAAGGAATAGCTAGAAGGGAAAAAATTGCAGAATTGTTTAGGGTGTTTATGCGCTTCAGCCTTTGCACCTATTTTTATTGCCTTATCGCAGCACATCATTTAAAGTTACCTAATTCTTCCATCCACACAATAAATAAAGAAACCACTTCGTGTATTTACGGATAAGCGAGAGCGATCATTTGTACCCGAAAGTGGTGTCAAGTCAAGGTCAATTGAAATCAAGTCAAGTCAACAATGCGCTACAACACACGCTAAAACACGTATAAAATCAGAGAAAAGTTTAACGAATGAATAATGTGCGCCAGCAATTTGAAAAGTTGACAGAGGTGCTATCATCGATCTTATTTGGCAACAAGTTCTTGTTTGATTACGTGCTGATTCCTCAGAAAACGTGACAAATGGAGAACAACGGCCGTACCGTTAGCGTGTGTGCGGGCCTAAATGGCTTTGTGTAACTGTCTGGTCGAAAAACTCGAGATACATTCCGACAACGCACACTGGAAAGGGAGACTGGCATGGGTGAGTATCTTGGACGCCAGTTTTTGCAGGAGTGCACATGGTTGGGCACGGTGATGTCAATAAACACTGACATTGAAATTCCTCTACATCGGGCAATATGCTTCAGAGGCCTGTCGATCGCTTTGAATTGCGCGTTTAAGAGTCCCGGAAAGAGCACAGACAATACGTCCAATGCGGCAATACGCATGCCGTGATAAACTGTAAACCCACGTAATGTAGCACGGATGAAGAACTAAGTCGGGAGATATAAAATTTTAGTCTCCTAACTTTAGTGAATTATTCGTTCACGTGATGGGACCACGAGAAATCGACTTAGCGTAGTACCTACATATTTCCCAAATGTACAGGAGTTCAGATTGACACTGTCAATGCCAAGGTGCGGGGTGCGTAAGGAGCTACGGATAAAAAAATTTCTTGGACAGCCAGAAAATGGCCTTGTTTACACTTTGATACGGTGAGGAAAAGCCAACGGGATTTGGATCAGGTTATGAGGTTGTCTAAGAAGCATTGTAAGTTAGCCGAGAAATTAGTGGTGTGATTGTGTAGACCAAGACCCACCTCCTCAGCATGGTACAGCAGGATGGCTTCCTTCAAAGCGAAAATTGAGTTGATGTTAGTGGGAAATAGGAATGAGAACAAAATATTTCTTTGAAGAACACCTAAATTTTTGGTGTATGCATCCTCGTTTACGCGGCTTAAAACGTAATAATAACATTATTAATAATAATGTGAAAAATGGAATTTCCGAGCATCATACCAATCACTCAGAATACAAATGCGCGAATATTGGTACATTTGTATTGTTGTATTTGCTAGATAGTTTGCACTGAGTGGAAGTGACAGCAACTTAGACACACGCATGGAGTGGTAGCTTTCACCTGTTCGACTATATCATCGTAAGTTAACGTAAAATGCCTGACGTGGGTATGACATGTGTACTGCGTGGAGCTGAGTGTGGCACTGATCACAAATTGGTGCGGACAAAATTTACATCTACTTGCGGTAAAGTACGTACATTGCGCCTGCCATGAATCGGAGGCGTAAATTTTCATTCCCTCGGTACTGTGCCGAAACGCATTGAGCTGGAGGAGGCGATGGCTGCGCTCCTATGATCTGGGCTGCATAGCCACAGTGGACGACCTGTGGCGCCACATTTGTGATCAGGGGATAGCTGATGCTGAGAAGACCATCGGGCCCGCAAACTGTATGCAACCTGATAGATTTGGTGACAATCATGCGACGATTGGCGTATTGGTGTCTGAGAAGAATGCAACATTTGTTGCACATGTGGAGGACCCCAGTGACTTGGGGAAGAAGAATCCGTTTCGCAAACGTCCACGGCGACTGACTCAAAAGATCTGACGCATTAACAGTCCTGGTAGACGGAGCGGTGGAAGCAGATAGAATGCTACACCGAACGCCGCCAACATAAGGAGTGCGTGGTCTCCTTGAAGGCGGTGTAAGGACCAAGGTTGAAGCCGCCGAAGACGCTGCTCGATGCTACCCCAGGTGCTGCTCGGGCACCTACTGCAGGCATAATACAGATCTGGCGAACACAGTTTGTTTTTCTCTTGAACAACCGTTCAAAGATTGACGGGAATGTGGTGAAGACTTGTCTTACCAAGACGCCGACACTAAACGCCACAGATTTTTGAAGTACCGTGCTCTCGATTCTACTTCTGCCTGCGGATTACTGTCTTATACCTGTTTTCTGTGTGAATGGTGCACCAATATTCTTCCTTCGGGGTATTTTTTAATCTGTGATAATATGGTGTGTACTCTCCGGCTACTTTCGGAGAATTCAGTGCTTGGCCCAACTGCTGTCTGAGTTCGCCAACATGAGTTTATTTTTGATCTTGTCAGCTGGTGCAGCTGCATACCCATGGGATCAGTGCATAAGCCAATCCACTCCATCGACCACTTACTTGATGTTTACAACTTCAACATTCACTTGACTAATGTATACCACCACGAAAGTCGAAACGCCAGCAGTCATCACACTGGCTCAGCTAGCGACGCCAGACCGAATGGCAAACATCGAGTAAGTGCACCTATAAAAGGGCTCCAAGCCAAAGGTGTTTGCGGGTCATGAGAATGTAACTGATTAGCCAAACTAAGCTTAACTTGCACGCGTTGTTCCAAGTGGTACCATCCGAAGTGTGCTAGCTTATCCCAACAGCAGGTGCAAGACCTAAATAGCTCTAGAGATGTCCTCTGGTTCTGTCGCACCTGTTTGACCACATCATTTGGCAAGGGTATGCTAGTTCTAGTCCAGAAATGTAAGCAGCTGGTAATAATAATAATGTGTCAGCTGTACATCGTAACACAGCTACGCTGCCGTGCGATCACCACCAGTCGCACGTGGGCTGATTATACAGTGAGAAAGCCCACCTCTTTGCGAATTCAAACCGGCGCCGCTAGATCACGAGACACGCACGTTACCGCTAGGCTACGGGCTGACCAACCGGTTGGTAACAGCAGTCGAGCAGCGAATGTGTATTAAGATTATCTCGCTGGTAGAAAGTCTGAACCAGTTAAACCTAGAGGCATTTAACCAAAAATATGGCGCACTAGTTGTTGCTTCTGAACGACGATCAGTCTGGTCCCGATGGCCGTTGTCTTCCCCCTTTTGGCATCACATCAGGGAAAAGTTGACCGTAACTCCGAGAGGAAAGCAGTATCGGTGGAAACTAAAATGAGGCACCAACCGAAACATGTGAGTAATCAAAGCTCACCAGTCTTAATGACACCTGGATGTAAAATTGACAAAACATCCCAACGGCAACCCACAGCATCTGCAGCTCAGGGGTCTATTGTCGGGCCGAAGTCCCCTAAACCATCACTCACATATACTGCGATTGCTGCAATGTTCACCCGAAAGGCCACCTTTTCAATAGATTCTGTTACACACACGGCTAACTTGAATAGAGAGACAAACCATAAGCCATCACCACTTGGTAGCAAATCAGGACAAACGATCCTCCAACCTTACAGCTCAACGAAAAAGGATCTAACAATAGTGCCCTGGCTGTTGTGTGCTCGAACCTAACCGAATTAGCAGCTGTCAGATTGGAAGGTAAAATGTCCGACGACGTAAACCAATGAGAGTCACTGTGTTCTCTGCTGAAAGTGGTAGCAAAATCCACGAACTTAGTACAAATAACTCGTCACCCGAACTCTGCAGATCTTGGCGAGCCCACATTTATTAAAGTAACACTAGAATCCTCAACTGACGTAGCCATCCTTCTGCTCTTCGCAAACGCCCTGCAACATGGATCTTATGGAATACTATATATCCTGATGTTCCATGGAATATGCGACAATCTTAAAGAAACTCCGAGGAAGGACACAGCAAGCCTGATTGCCTAAACACCACCTTCATTCATGGTTTGCCAGCGCTTCCTGCACACGATTGTCAAGAGACCGAAACTCTCGATTTAGAACAATGGCGATTCATCTGTGCAACACTTACGTTGAATACTGTTGTAGTACGATCGCGCAAAAGGTTACTTCTCTCGCCAAATTATAAGGCACGCGACCCCAGGATCCTAAAGCTCGTGGTTCAGTCCGAGCAAGCAGCAACCGATATGTTGCATAGTTGGTGCAAAACCGAAAAAGCTTATCATCAGGAATTCGGGTTAGGACTGCAGATGTTTCGCAACGTCCAGTTACGAAAGCACCTGGAAAAGCAGACCTACCGGCGATGAGTGCTCCCTTACCCGATACTGACATAGATCTAAATGAGGGTAGAGACCCACCTTGGCCAGAGAAAGGTACGGAAGTAGTATCAGTATCTCATCAAAAAAACGAATAACGACCGACATAACAGCGGTCAGCACTCCCACACACCTGATTTCTTTGACCACATATGGAACAATGGAACAATGGTTTATTACGGGTAAAAAAGCGTTGCTTAACAAGTCCCGTAGGAGGGAACTTATTGTGAAAATCAATTGCATAATAAAGTGAAAAGCGTTGTGATGGACTCACCATAGACTTATGTGGGATAGCAGAGATGTTCGCGTATTAAACATATAAATCCATAAATCCATTGGTTAGGCGTTTGGCAAGACACCGTTTGATTGCGTTTTGTAGCCCCTGGCTAACAAGTCATAAAATGAAATGTAAGAGACAGTGCATCGTCAACACCTTTTTTAAATATCGCCAGATTGGGAGCAGAGACGAAATAATTAGGGAGGGCGTTCCAAGGCTCACACACGCGGAGGGAAAGGAAATTTCTACGACATTCAAGCCGGCTATAATGAATTGTCAGTTTCAGAGGGTGACCTCTTAGTTTAGTGTTGTGGTTCAATTCCAGCATCGGACGGCAAATGTGGTTTGGGTTCTTCAGAATCTGGCAAACCATTATGAGATCCCCCCGAAAAAGCCGATATCGACTACTGTACATTCTTAGAGATTTCAGTCTAAGCTGATAGGGCAGATGAAAGAGGCCCCTGACATTCTTGGTTGCCGTT